AGCCAATTTGCTTACGTCTCCGGACTACTGCAGATCTTTTACTAAGAAAGAAAATTTGCAGGTTTTACAAAACACTCACTACTCACAAGAAAGCTCTCTAATATTGGGAGAAAGAAATGATTTTTGGGATGATTTTGAAGTTAAATGAACTAGGGTATTTATAGTTGAAACTTAAGGAATAATCTTGTAAATATCCTAAAAATACAATGACTAAAATTGCAATTACCCCAAAAAAATTAACAAATCATTTATGGCACCGAATTCCACCGAATTCGGTTCCCCCTTAGCACACACATATTGTCTTTACAAATATCCGAACAATAGTACCGTAGATCCTTGTACTTTTTTATCTTTTGTTCGATAAATTGGCTAACTTGTCTTGCAGGGAAACAAGCTACATCAGGAAGGTAAACTAAGCTTGCTGGTGGATAAGGGTCTAAAAGACAATTTTGACAGGATTGAGGCACTCAATTTTCAACCCTCTACACCGTCCAAGGATGTCTGAAGTATTAAGGATGCTTGAAGGTGACGGTCTGGCGGACAAATCGGAGGCCTCACAAACGGTTGAGACGCCAAGGTCCCGATCATGTGATAACCCCCTCCGCAAAGATACTCCGACTTTGTAGAGGAATCTTCGCTCGTGGTGGAAGCCATGGAGCTTTCTGGTCCAAGGTAATGGATGCCATCTTCAACCTTCGATGCTTACTCAATCGTAGCGTTATGAATTGCCAAAAAGAAAAATGTGATTGCTGTTGAAATGGTGATAGTTAAGTTCTTGTATCCATCTGTAAAAAGAAAGGAAAAACAAATGAAAGCTTTTTGTCACGGAAGAGCCGAGCCAAGTTGAGCTTGTGGCTGCTGTCGATAAATATTGGGAAAATGTTATTTTTATATATAATCAAACTATGATATGAAATCATACATATGATACCATCATATTTTAGAATTTTGAAAATTCTTATATACCTATTGTCACGTAGTTGTAACTGTTAAAACTTAAAACTTTAAGAAAAATAATACTCTCTTATCACCAATGTCATTTAATGTTCATTTACATAAAAGATTTAATCTAATTTTTAAAATATTATTATGTATCTTTTGAAACATACTTATAAAAATCTATATAAAAACTAATATAGATCTTTCTTTCCAAACTATGTAATCCAAATATTATGAGTTATATTAATTTATGACGTGAATTACATGTTTAGTCATTGAGCTATAAGCTTCTTTTGTATTAATCTTATTTTTAAAAAAATTATAAAGTAATTGCTAAACTTGTTTAAAAAGTATTTTAATTATTTAATTATTATTTGTCGTTAATTAAATTATTAATTGAATATTTCTTTTCATTTTTCTTAACGGTAATTTAAAAAAATCTAAAAATAGTGTTAGAAATTTATAAGTAGAAAAATAATAAAACGATATCAACGTATAAAAGATTACGTGCATAAGAAGTGAAATTTAAAGTAGTTCGATCTTGTCTACCTCTACATATGATAAGAACAATAATTCACTATAAATATAGATATCATGGAGAATACAGATACATTATATTTCATATATCTCAAAAAATAGTATTTATACCAAAATTTGGTGTATCTCTCACAATATCATCGCAAAATTATCTATGCAACGTAAACCCTAAAAGTGCCAATGACTACAAAAGGATTATCACTTCAAAGTAATTCTCTCTCATAATTCTAAAGAGTAACACATACTCTCTATTCATAAAATCAAATACTTGATCACAATATTCCTTATTCAATAAGAACTCTTACTAAATAAACATATCTATCAAACTTAATTACAGTTATTTGAGAAACAGTTAGAGTTAAATTCAATAAAGGGATACATAATACCAAGGGATCATCGAGTTATATACACTCTAATATTTGGAGACCGCCTAGAATATCTTTTAGAGAAGACACTTATTGCATGTTGACGATCATGAATGATATCTTCAAAAAAGTTTCGACTTTTCTTAAAGCAGAAAAATGAAGTGTTGCCAATGTTTAAAGATTGAAAGGCTATAATCGAAAAGTGTTGGTAATGCTCAATTCCACATAGTATTGAAAACACTATTGGGAATGAGTATTTAAGGTTTGGATTCTCGGGTCGGGTTGAAAATGTTCGATGCATGTTATCTAATACCAAATTACCGAAGTCGTTGTGGGTTGAAATAGTTTCTACAACATGTTTAATGATCAGCTGATCTTCTTCTGATATTGAAAAAAAGACTGTAAAAGGTTTGATCCGATGAACTTGATAGGTATTTTGATTTGAAGATTTATGGTTGTTTGGCCTATGCTTATATTAATAATAGTAAATAAGAGTTGAGATCCATTAAGTTTGTTTTTCTTAGATATAAAACTAGTGTTGAGGAATATAATTATGGTGTCCCGAAATAAGAAAACTTATAATTAGCATAAATGTTATCTTTGATAAAACTTATAATCACCTCTTAAAATTTCTAATAATAAAGATCTAACGCATAAATGGAGCTGTAGGTGATGAGTTTCGATAAAAAAATTATTAGAATTCGTCACCTTAAAACGATGAATTTTAATTCTACTGTAGTATTCGTCGTATTCTTTAAAATAAAAAACTGATGTTATGATGGTCTATATAAAAAAAAACCGATGCTCTAATGAAAAAAAAAAACTGATGCTATGGTGGTCAAATTGCTGGGCAAGCACATCGGGTATAACACTCTAAAAAGCAAGTTGTATGACTTGTGGAAACCGACCCAACCTTTCCGGTTGATGGATATTGAAAACGATTACTTTTTGGTTTCTTTTCGGACACGATCAGACTTTTTGAAGGTTATATTTGAAGGGCCATGGCTAATCTACGGGCACTATCTCACCAATGAACCGTGGTCGACTGAATTCTCGACCTCCCAGCCATACCCACGTAAAGTTATTGCTTGGATCCGTCTTCCAGGATTGCCGGTGACACTTTACAAACGGAGTATTATTCAGGAAATTGGCGAGTGCATTGGTCCAGTTATTCGCATCGACTACCAAACCGATAGTGGTCGCCGAGGAAGGTTTGCTCGTATGGCTATTAAAATTGATCTTCACAAACCCTTGATCTCGAAGAGATGTTATCATCGAAGGTGAAGACACTAATTTTTTTTACATTTGGTTTTCTATTATTTATTATTATTATTATTATTAATATTATTAATTTTATTATATTACAGGCCCAAATTACATAAACCGGAGTCCAATTACAAATGGATCCAGATGACCCAAATTGGCCCAAACCCATCAAAAACCCTAAAACTCAATTAGGGTTTTCTGTCCTAGTGATGCCGCCGCTTTGCTTCTCCACCGTTGGATCTAGCATTGATCCAACGTTTCAGATTGTCCCAGCAGAAACCCTAGGGTTATGATACCCTAGGGCCACATGGTCGCCGTTCGTCAGCCAACCGACACCTTCAATGCCAGGTGACCCAACCAGCAGCTGCCGACGCCTTGCTGCCTTGACACCACCTCACCAGAATGCTCCAGAAGCATTCCGAGGTCATACACGTCGCTGCTCTAGAGGTGAGTCACCACTGGAAGTTCGGTGACTCACCAAACTTTACCCTCTATTATCCGATCCGAGGAAGGACATTGTGGTGGCTATAAAAGCCACCGCCAAACCTGCAAAAAAAGGGGGGACCAGAGGGAGATACGAACAAGAAACGGGAGAGACGAACACACAACAGCAACAAACACATCAACAGCAACTGAGACCAAAAATCGAGAGAAAAGAGAGGAGAAACCCTTACCGAGGAAGCAAAACTACCGGAGACTCCACGCACCTTCACGAACCACCATAAAAACAGAAATACCGAAGGTATTTCTTTAAGATCTGCGAAAATCCATGGATTTTTAGGCTAAACAAAGGTTAGGTTTGGGTTTAGATCGTCTCGATCTATCGTTTGGGAAAATTTCATAATTTTCGACCACCGGCGACGGTGGGGTTGGCGGCGGCGTGTGCCTGCCGACCGATGTCTGGTTTCCCTCCGGTGAGGGAAACCTAGAGAGAAGCGAGAGAAAATTTCTCTCTCAGTTAGATAGAGAAGAGAAAAGAGAGAAATGAGATGCTGGCCCTTCGGGCCAGACATCATAGGGTATTATACCCTCTCTTAAACGACATCGTTTAAGGGAGGACCTGTGTGTAATTTGATAAGGGTAAAACCCTTTCCGCAGCCATTATAATTTTATAACTTTATATTTTAGTCACTGAACCCAATTTTAGATCTTTATAATTCGGTTCTTTAATTTTAATTTTATTTATTTTAGTCCTTTATATTAAATAATATATTTAGGATAAATATCGCATTTAGTCCCTCATAGTTTTATAAATTTTATTTTAGCCCTGGATAAATAATTAAGGTTAAATTAAAATATTAGGATATAGATTTCTTAATATTTCGAATTTGATCTTTTATTTTCAATACTTTATATTTTGATCATATAATTTTAATTTTATTACATTGCAATTTTATTTTATTGTTATATATTTAAATTAATAATTATTATTATTATTTTAATCATATTAATATATATTATTTGATTAATTTTATAAATATTTTATAATAATATTTATTTATTTTTTAATATCAAAGAAAGGGGCAGTCTTAAAGCAACTAGATGTCTGTTTTCTGATATTTTTAAATAAATAAATATTTTACTTTTATAAATTGTATATATTAATCTATTTTTTTTAATTATTTTTAGATAAATGTTTTAATATTTATTTTTTAATATCAAATGAAAGAGTTGTCTTAAAGCACCTAGAAGCTCTTTTCTGATATTTCTAAATAAATAAATATCTTATTTATATAAATTAATAAATTTACTTAAAATTATAGTAATAAATTTAAATTAAATAGGATTATAAATATATCTTTGAATTCTTAAATTTCTAATAATAGAGACAATATATAATTAAAAAGTACCAATTTTGGGCGTTGTAGGGGTGTTAATCCTTCCCTAAACGTAACCCTTAATTCAAAGATGGAAATTCTTGGATAGCCATGATAAATCTGGATCATCCCATTTCCTCATTCTGACCCTTTTTCGCCGAAGAACCCTATTTAGATTAGAGTCCGCCATAATATATAATTGTTGGTATGAAAGAATTTTTTTTGTAATGAAAAACTCAACTCTTATTACATTGCAAGTGAATTTCTGAAAATTCTTTTCGATTTCTAGAAATCACTTTATTTACCACGAATCCATTTTTATTATTAAAAAGAATGAACTTTTGGTTATAAACGCAGATCAATTCATCTTTTAACTAATGTTTTCTTAAAAACTCTTTTAAAAGATAATTTTTAGGTATTCGACCTACCTGACTCAAAGGGCCGATGGCGACTCCCAAATTATTTTAAAAACCATTTATTCACATCACTTTTCCCGCCAAATAAATATTTTGTGCCCGGACGAAAACTGGTTACGACAGCTTGGCGACTCCGCTGGGGACTTTCAAGCTTTTAAAATCAATTATAAATTGTCTCTATTAATCATAAATTAAAAATTCTTATATTTAATTTATAATTCTTTTTTATATATATACATATTATTTTCATAGTATTTATATATATTATTAATATTTCATTTTATTTGCAAGTATTTTATTTTGTTATTTATTTTTCTGTTAGAGGTTTGAACATTTCTCCTCACACACAACACTTGCATTGCATAACATAAGCTTTCTAATCAAGCTTGTCCCTTTTAAGTGGGAGTGAAAGCGACGTCTTCGTGAGAATTTATTCTCCGTGTCAGACCTAGCAAGTAACTTTCGGGGTTCATATGCTCTATGTCATTGTGAGAATTTATTCTCCGTGCCAGGCATAGGGAAATGTATCCCCTCGAATTGAACTCGATCCACTTAAGTCTGTAATGGACTAGGATTGAGGGTTTGACAGCCCAAGGGGGCATCAACAAGGAAAGTTCGAGTACCTTTACTCTTAGAATCAAAACCCTGCATATAATGAATTCTAGAAATTCTCCTGATCTAAGACAATACTGAACCTCTGTCTGTAAGTGTACACAAAGGAGAAATAAGCTTTAGCTTTTAAATTATTATTTTCCTCTATGAATAAATACATGTGAACTAGAAATCATGCGGTTAGGTTAAATTTTCCAAACAAAGCATGGAACTAGAAAGCATGAGGTTAAGATTTATACCTTGATAGATTTTTTCCCATTAGTTGGTACTAACTATTCTATTTTTCTTATTTTTTCATACATGTTAAATTGCTCTAAACTTGTTTATATTGATTTCTTTTGTTTGCATTGCACGATCATGGAATAATCAAAAGGTGTTGACTTAAAAGATTGTTCATCAAATTGGAAAGAAATCGTAAATGGACAAAAAGTTTTATGATCAAACAAAATATGACGCGGCCAAGGAATCGTATCCCGAGGGAACCCCGAGGATAGAAGAGTGATATGCACCTAGAGATCATGTGTCCATTAAGGAGCAAGAGGAGATACGAGAAATAAGAGAGCATATGTCCAAGATGATGGATAGAATATCTGTTTTGGCCAAAAGAGAAGAGATTCTTGCACAGAAAGAGAGAGAGCTCAATGAACTTAACCCTGCAATGTCAGACACGCAAGGGACTTCGGATCTTAACCAACTTGAGAAATTACAGACAGTCATCATTCGTATTCACAAGTCATCTGGAGATACCAAAGAAATGATGACAACTGTAAAAGCTCCCAGAGAAGAGAAAAAATCATGTAACTTGAAATCATCGAAGTTTAGTCTGCTCCTGGCATCTAAAACTCAGGTTCAATCCAAGACAAAAGGCGGTTCTCATGTTGATGCTATACCTATATCATATAAAGAGTTGTATGAAAAGTTACTTGAAGCACGAGAAGTGGCTCCATATTACATAAAACCATTCCAACCTCCGTATCTAAATTGGTATGACATCAACATTCATTGTGAATATCATGCCGAAGCTCAAGGACATACCATCGAGAATTGTCTTGCCTTCAAACGTCGAGTCCAAAGTCTTTTGGATCATGGAACCTTACAATTTATGGTAAATGATCGACCTAGTTTGGTAACCGAAGGTCCTGCTAGATTAATACCAAAAGTCTTCAAATGTAAGAGTATCAGTAGGGGCGCCCAGAGAGAAGAAGATTTGCTGAGGTTTGAAGCTCAAATATGTCATTTGAAGATTGAAAATGATAAATTGAGCACCAAAATGGAAACAATACATGAAGATTTCCAGAAGGTCAGTCAAGCCTTTCAAAATGCTGGCATAGGAAACACCCCAGAAGAGTGGATAACAGGGGTCACCAAACTGAAAAAGAATTGCAATATAAATAAAGGACGAGCCAAGAAGTTTTCTCATGATTTACAAGTTGCAGAAGAAAGACTCAATACAACTGTCATGGAATTGAGAAAATATCAAGTCAACAATCAAAGGTTGAATAGTGCTATGACCAATAGGGAAACATCATATCAGATCCATCAGCATGAGATTGATACTGAATTAAAAGCCAATATAGACAATAACAAGACATTAAAAAAAATGTTTAGATGATTATAGATATCTTGTACGAGAACTCTGTAACCATAAAGATTCCATTACAAGGGAAAATGAGCAACATTGCCTACAACTCCGGGAATTGACACAGAAGATGAAGGAAAAAGACACTGTCATGAAGGATGTTGTTGTTCAAGCAAACAATATGGCTCATAAGCTGGTGGACATAGCTGGCTTCGCAAGAGAATTAAAGCAGATTGAGAACTCCACACCAGAGCATGAGTGGAAGTTAGTTTGGCTTTTAAGGGAAATAGAGAAGTTAGGAGTGAAAGCTATCCCCTACATGTAAAGTTTTGTTTGATGTACCGAAACTTTTGTGTTCAATGAAATATGTTCTAAGATGATCACTCTTGAGTAACACCTTTTCATACATGCATTTACATTTTTGTATCTGTGCATTTCCATTTTGTATTCTTACTTTTTAGATCTTTGTATTACACAGTTTGCATTCTTATTTTTGCATTTATTGCATTTTCATATTTACATTTGTTATTTTAAGTATTGTTAAATACATTAATTATAAAAACATATAAATAATTCATGAAAGGTTTTGTAACAGTAAAACCAAGATCATTCATTCATATTATTTTACCATCATCATGAAAACAATGGAGCAATCTTATGAGGGACTACAAGATCAGTGACTAGAACCATTGACAGGGTTACCTCAGGATACCAGGAAAGAAGCATCAGATTCAGTACCAGATGGATCAAATCAAATTATTCAGGGAATGGCATCTGATAAAGAAGTGATAATTGCTAAAGAGTAACCATGCTATCAGAATGAAGAGTCAAGAAAGATAACATACCCTGGGGTATCCCAATTGAACCCAAATAATAGCCTCGTTCATTATTCACAATATGAGGAAATATTCAAGAGGATGGATGAAGCAATCAAAAATATGAAATGTGTTGATACTTCCCACAAAGAACTAGAAGCAAGAGAGCTCAGTTTGGTTCCATATTTGGTTATTCCCCATGAATTCAAAATGCCTAATTTTGAGAAATATGATGGCACCAGTTGTCCCTTAATCCATTTGAGAATGTTTTGCAGAAAAATGGAAGGATATTTAAGTTCTGATGATCTGTTAATTCACTCTTTCCATGATAGTCTTGTTGGCCTAACAATAGTCTGGTATAATCAGTTGACACAAGAACAGATCAAGAGATGGGTTGATCTAGCTGATGCATTTTTGGGACAATATCGGTATGTTAAAGGCTTAACTCTAACACGTATGGATCTTCGAAGAGTAAAGAAGGAAACTAATGAAAGATTTCAAGAATATGCCTTAAGATGGAGAGGATTGGCAGCACAAGTTCAACCTCCCATATTAGAAGAAGAAATATCACGTATGTTTTGTGATTCCCTTCCATCGCCTTTCTTCGAGTTAATGCAGGCAAATCCGACAAAGGAATTCGAGAATCTTGTGACAAGTGGAGATTTAATTGAGAATGTAATCAATGAAGAAAACTCAAAAGTCACATCCAGGAGCCCAATGGATCAAAAAGCAAAAGCTGATCATGTGAATGAATGTCGCATCCAGAGTCCTCGCAATTACAAAAGAAAAAGAGCGAGTAACTGTTCGGATCGACCAAAGAAAGTCATACGATCAAGAAAAACTTTGGAAGTGTTCCAAACTTCCATTTCAGACTTGTATCCTCATTTGGTTAAAGGTCAATACAACACACCAAGACCAACTAAAGTGACATCAAACCCTTCTGCTCATAGCTATGATCAAGATAGTGTTTGTAATTTTCACCTGGGGGTAAAGGGGCATTCTACAGGCAATTGTAGGCCACTGCTAAAAGAAATTGAGATGCTTGTTGACAAAGGGGTTTTGACACAAGAAATGATCAAGAAATGGGGGGCGAATGAAAAAAAGAACCCTGATCCTATTACATACCCAACATTATAGGAATAATGAGGCATGATGCATAAACAAGTGGAAGTGTTATATACCACTGTAGTACTTTTCTATTTTCAGCATCTTGTTTGAACTTGTTTTTTGTTCCTTTCTCCGCCTTTTGTGCAATAAATAAATTTGTGTTGCTTATTAAGGTTATGAGCATTGAGTCAATTTTGCAATCTTGCAGTTTTTTGAATATCAACTGGATTAAAAAGTTCTTCATGATTAGAGTTATAATCTTTGACAGAATATCAGGATTGAAAACCAGAAAAACAAGGACCATTGACCTTACCTCAGAAGAAATACACCCAAACACTATCCTATTACAAATATGAGATAGCCTACTCCTATTGAAAGGAATTACAAAAAGGCTTGGTATTTATATATATGAGCGTACAACATGGGCATCATTGGTATATTACATTACAAAACTGACTAGAGTATTTTTCTATTGATGACATTCGATGATGAACATAATTTTTACAAATAGGTAAATCTAGTTTAAATCAGTTGCTTGAGAATTGAACTCTAACAAAGAGATTTTCTGAATTCCACCAAAATACCTAGACTATAACAGGTTCTTCTTAACAAGCTTAAGAAATTGGAATTGGATACCCATGTGATACAATAAAGCTTGAGTTGTCCCTCTAGAACAATTGGTTAATCGCCCTGGCTTTATGGATAATATTCAGCTAGCCTATTATACTATTATATGCAATAAAACTGTCCCTCTAGAGCAATTGGT